TGCCCTCGTTTCTCGTTACAATCATCTCTTCCGCCCATCTCTTCCTCATCTCCCTTCAGGTGCCTCGATGGATCGCGTCGCATTCAACCGCACCTGCTACAGTGCCAGTCATTCCCGCCGCAATAGCTGCTGCGACTCCGTTCCCCTGCCTTCCCGCTGCGCTCAAGCCGCTCCCGTTCTCCGCGCTACCCACCGCCGCCACCGCCGCGACAACCGCGACCACGCTGGCTCCCCTCACGACCTCCCTTCCGCTTTCCCCCCCGTCTTCCGCCCACCTTCCGCCTCCGCCATTCTCAAATCTCCTCTCATCCGGGTCCGCGCATACGTTTCTCCGCCCACGCGCATCTTACGCCGTCGAGCGTGCCGTTCCCGATGCGGACAACCCAATTTCAACCTTCCCCTTCTCCACGCAACAGCCAGGAAGCTTCATCTGCCACCCGTCCCCGTTCTTCCCGGGATATCCCCCGCCGCTTCCGCCGACCCTTCTTGCCGCCGCATCCGCGGATTCCGCCTCCACCGCCGCCGCCTTACCGTCATTTCCCGATGCGTCCCCTATGCTTGTGAGGCCGCGACCTCGCAACGCGACGGTCGCGCTGCCGCTAGTCATTCCTGGCCAGTCAGATGCTCGCAGGATGTTCGATGAGTCCGATGTCGATGCCGCAGCCCACGGCGCGAATCCCGCCGCATTCGACGGCGCGGATCCCGCGGAGGTTGCCGCTGCTGCCGCCGGCGCCGAGCTGGGCGCGCGCGAGCTCGCCGCGATTCGCGCGGTGATTTTGCGACACGAAGCCGCGTTCCGAGAGCAAGTTGCGGAGCTGCACGCGATTTGCGGCGTGCAACGCGGGCTGATGGCGGCGACGGTGAGTCATCCCTCCGACGACGCACCGCGTACCGCGGCGACAGACGCGGCGACAAACGCGGCGGGGCAAGAGGCAGCGAGGGGCGAGAAGGAAGCAGGGAACGACGATATGGGGGTAGGTTCGAGAGGCGCGGATGTGGGGGGAGATGGCGGAGTGCGGGCAAATATGGCGGAGCAGGATAACCAGCGGCAAGGAATGGCGAACCGCGCGGGAATGCTTCTCTTCGATTTGGAGCAGCTTCCTGGAAACGACGAGGGGGAGGCGGCGGCGGAGGAGGAGAATGTGAACTTGTGCGTTCGAGACGCACGCGCTTCGTCGATTGCGTCACCTGCGCCGTTCCTAGCTGTTGCGCCTGCGCGCACGCCGTCGTCTTCCGCCGTCCTCACGACCCCGCTCGCGCACTCCGCCATCGGAGTTCCGCCTCCGCCAGTCCTCGCGCCAGCTGCTGCAACATGTTCCGCGGACTCGAGCGCGGGCAGTCACGCGGGGCGTTGCCGCGGAGGAAGTCGGAAGAGACAAACCCCGTGCGATAACAACGCGGCCAATGGGCGGAAGGAGGAAAGCTCTGGCGCGCACGGGGCGCCTGCGGAGAGCGACGCCACGTCAGCATCGGGCGCGTTGGACACGCATGGTAACAGCACTCCACGTCAGCGTGTTGCGAAGAAGCAGAAGCGGGAAGGCGGAGGGGGAAGCGGAAGGGGCGGAGGGGGCGGAAAGGGCGGAACGAAAGGGAGAGGAGGAGCCGGAGGAGTGGGAGGTAGTATCTTGACAGGCAGATCTGCCGGCCCTCCGTCCCCGCAAATCTCCCATTCACATAACACCTCCCCCAGTATCGCCTCTCCTTGTTATCCCTCCACGGCCTCCCTTTCGCCTGCTCTGACGGCTGTTGTTGCAGCCCAGCCGTCACAGCCACCCCAGCCGCCCCAGCAGCAATATCACCTGCCTGGACTGCCAAATTCGCTTCTCAACCACCACTCTCCCCTCGCTCCCTCCGCGCCCTCCTCCCTTCCACCGTCCGCCCTTCCCTTCCACCCGTCATTCCCTTTCCCCTCTGCCTTCACGCCTCCATTCCCTCCTCCCACACCCCCCTCCAATCTCGCCTCCCCCTCCGCCCCACACCTCTGGTCATACCCATACCCACCTGCGGCACCAGCACCCGCAGCAGCAGCGTCAGCAGCAGACATGGCATCATCTACAGCAGCATCACCAGCAGCGGCAGCGGCAGCGGCGGCAGCAGCAGCAAACGCGAGCAGTCTCTTTCCTGGCGGCTCATCCTTCACCGGCTGTGCTTCTGGCACCGCTGCTACAATGGCTGCCAGCACCGCTGCAGCAATGAGCGGCACAGCTGCTGCAGCCACGGCAGCAGCTGCTGCTGCTGGAGGGACGTTTGTCCCTGGCATGGCGTCGCCGCTGTATGCTTCGCCCGCGTCCAGTTATGGCATGCATTCCATTTCTGGCATGCCTGCACTCCCTGGAATGTCTACTTTCCCCGGCGGACCCGCTTCCGGAATGTTCTCTATTCCATGCATGAATCCTTTTTCAGGAATGCATTCTTTTTCAAGCCTGCCTTCTTTCTCAGGGATGGCTTCCAGTTCCGGAACGCCTTCTATTTCTGGAATGCCTTCCTTTTTGGGAATGCCATATTCCTCAGGAGCGCCAGGCACAGGCTACCTCCATCCATCCATGCTCCCCTCATTCCCACCGCCCCAACCTGCACCCTACCGCCTCCCACTCCCCGGCACCACGCTCAACCCAACTGCCATGATGCTGCAACCAGCAGGCGCAGCAGGGGGGGGAGCAGGGGGGAGACGGGCGGGGGGGAGCGCAGGAGCACATGGGGACGTTAACGCAGGGTTCAAAAAACCCCCTCCGCTGGTGCTGGTGAGGGATGGCAGCAGCAAGCAGCAGCGCCTGCTGCCGCCTGACCAAGCAGCCAAGGCGTTCCCGGGTTACAGTCACGAGCCGACACCAGGCAGACGGCAGAAGCAGCAGCTGTTGGGGCAAGGGAGCGTTGCAAGCCCTCGTGGAGGAGATGGTGGGGCAGCAGGTGCTGCTGGTGCTTCCGCTGCAGCCAGCAGGCAGAAACAGCAGCAGCAGCTGTTGCTGCAGCAGGGCGGTGTGTCTGCGCCTTTGCACAAACACACGGGGACTGCTAGAGATGAGGGGAACGGCGCAGAGCAGCTCGGTGGTGATGGCGATGATGAGATGGAGGGGACGAGTGGAGGCAGTGCGAGTGTGGAGAATGGCGAGTCTGGAGATGAGGGAGAGGCGGTGGTGGACCCTGTAGGGCTTCCGGAGGCAGCTGGTTGTTTGGGTTGAGGGTGACAGTTCAAGGGCAGCAGTTTCTCTGACCCTGCTTGAAACAGAAGCTGCTTTCGAATACTTATAAACCGACTTGAGAAAGCTATGTACAAAATTTATTTTGCCTTGGTGTTTGTGTTAGGCAGATATTCGTTTTTGGGACGGGAACATGATATTGTATCTGTTTTGGTACCCTAGCATATCATATTCCATGCTTGCATTGGTTTGTTGAAAAACCTTTTCAACCACTTCGAAATCACTTGAACCTGGAGAGGAAGGGGTATTCATGGAAGAGGACCTTATCGGCAGTGAAGCGGCCCTGCCACGTGCACCAGTAACTTTCCTCGCTTTTCCCTCTGTACTCCTGCGAAATTTCCTGTAATCGTTTCGAGTTGCCACGTGGACGCATTTGCGCCGGCGCGGACCAGGCGAGAGAAAAAGCACACACTCGATAAAAGAACATGAACCTTGAGGGGTGGATCCTGCATTTGTGGCTGAAGACTTCGCTAATTGCGTGCGATGCAGTTCGGTTCGTTGCATATCTGCAAGGTACAGAAGTTGAACACCGCGTCGAATCTTCTGATGACATTCCCCAGCCAGACCCAATCCACTCGTCCCCCGATACTCCATCCACCCCAGCAGGGAACGCTTTTGCCTGGCTTTGCTGCAAGGCCTCCCTCTCACCGTGCTACCACACACACACCACACCCCTTCCCCTGTCACATATTACTGGTGTTGGGGAAAAAACTAGTTTCATTTTACAAGCCTTGTTGTTGGCTGGTTCCTGGCAGCCGTGTCTAGCGCACATCTGCTCGCTCCACCGTCTGTTTCAGCTCCTCCGAATACGACCAACTAAGGGAGTAAGGAACTGAATTCTGCCGACCATGGCCATGGCGCAGCGGTCGCTACAGTCGCTGGAGTTCAGCCAGCTCAGGCGCGTCGACGGGCTACCGTCGGGCCTCAAAACGCCCAGCGCGAGCGGGAATGGCGTCGTGTCGCTGCTCCCCGGGTCGCAGCAGAAGCAAGTGCGCGTGAAGGGCAAGGCCCGAGTGAACAACGGCTTCGCGGTCCGTGCCTCGGGGGGCGTTGTTGAGCTCGAGCCCGCTTCCCCCGGTAGTCCGATTCTCGGTGCGTGTAGCGAGTACGCCAACCAAACGGCGTCAATTTATGTCTCTCTCCCCCTCCTCCCCCCCCCCCCCCCTCTTCCTTTTTTCTCTCGCCACTAGGCGTAGGTTCTCGCATTCAGTTCTTATTATTGGTTCATGGTGTGCTGTGTGCGGCACGGTTAGTTCTCAGTCGATCACGTACCACATTCGACCAACCAAGCGAGGAATAGGGTAGTGGTACATATGACATTTAGTCTTGAAGAATAGATGGGCGTCGAAAGTACTGCCCACACGCCGACGCGGCTGATCGTTATGGGCTGTAGGCAAAGCTCACGACGTATGGGGTGAAACTTCGCTTTTCGTGGATTACAAGGCTCACTTCTTCGCAAACTACCTTCTCGCAGGACTTGTTTCTGGCTCACATGCTAGTCTCCAACGTATCGTTAGTAGAATCTCCGAATTTGATTCTCGTAGCTAAGCGATTGTGAATCTCGTTGCGAACCCCGTGAGTAGTTCCTCGGCTACAGTGCACGGACTCGGTGTCAAAGACTCGGTGTCAAAGACTTTTGAGTCGACTCAAAAGTCAACTCATTTGACCAACTCCGCATGCATATTACTAGTAGTCAAGTTAGTCAACCAATTTATTATCTCCTGGCTGACCCCGTGAGCAGTGCCTCGGCTACAGTACGCGGACTCGGTGTCGCAGACGGTTCGGCGAAAGACGCGCACGGTGATGGTGGGTAACGTGGCGGTCGGCAGCGACCACCCCATCCGCGTGCAGACCATGACCACCTCCGACACCAAGAACGTGCAGGCCACTGTCGAGGAGGTGAGTTCCGCTGCAGTTGTTCGTATCGAATCACTTGTAACGCGTACGATAAGGAAATTTAGAGGTCGACTTCGACCGAGTATTTGCGAGCATGTGACGGGTAGTAGCCGTGACGGGAATGCCCAGTATAGCTCGTCTCAGCGATCGGTTACGATCATCATCTCTTGCGTCGAGACTTGGCTCGTGATTAGTCCACTTGTTTTGTGTTTTCTGTCCTTTTTTTGCTCTTGGTATTCTCATTATTGAAAAGGGGTACTACCGGTGTTTCTAAGATCGAACCTTAACGTTTTCTCCCCGTCACTCCCTGCACGCATCCTCCCATCTCCCCCCACCCATCTCCCGCATCTTCTCGTGTGGCTAGGTGATGCGCATCGCGGATCGCGGCGCGGAGATCTGCCGCATCACGGTGCAGGGTCGCAAGGAGGCGGAGGCGTGCGAGCAGATCAAGAACAAGCTGGTGCAGGCCAAGTGAGTGCGGTGCAGTGCGGTGCAGGCCAAGTGGGCGTGAGTAGCGAGTCGAGCTTGGGGCCATGGGTTGAAGGGACTTGCAGGGCGTGGGAGGGGGATGGTTTGTGACGGAAACGGGTATTGGGAAGAGCTTGACAGAGTTGTTCGGCAAGAAATGAGTAAAGAGAACTCGTTACGCACATGCCCTCATCGTTCCTCCCTTGTGCGCCTGCCCTCCTCTGTCTCCCCGTGCGCATGCCCTCCTCTGTCTCCCCGTGCGCATGCCCTCCTCTGTCTCCCCGTGCGCCTGCCCTCCTCTGTCTCCCCGTGCGCCTGCCCTCCTCTGTCTCGCCGTGCGCCTGCCCTCCTCTGTCTCCCCGTGCGCCTGCCCTCCTCTGTCTCCCCGTGCGCCTGCCTCCCCGTGCGCATGCCCTCCTCTGTCTCCCCGTGCGCCTGCCCTCCTCTGTCTCCCCGTGCGCCTGCCCTCATCTGTCTCCCCGTGCGTCTGCCCTCCTCTGTCTCCCCGTGCGTCTGCCCTCCTCTGTCTCCCCGTGCGTCTGCCCTCCTCTGTCTCCCCGTGCGTCTGCCCTCCTCTGTCTCCCCGTGCGCCTGCCCTCCTCTGTCTCCCCGTGCGCCTGCCCTCCTCTGTCTCCCCGTGCGCCTGCCCTCCTCTGTCTCCCCGTGCGTCTGCCCTCCTCTGTCTCCCCGTGCGTCTGCCCTCCTCTGTCTCCCCGTGCGCCTGCCCTCCTCTGTCTCCCCGTGCGTCTGCCCTCCTCTGTCTCCCCGTGCGCCCATCCCATCCACAACGCAATTTGTTCTCACCAACCACCCACGGATACCATGTTCTCACACTCGCTTCCTCTCCTTCCAACCCCTATTCCTTTCCATCCATTCTCTCTCTGTCCTCTGGATATGATTCTCCTCTAACGCTGCCCTTTCGCCCCTTAGCCTCTCCCCACGCCACCTCCTTCATCCCCTCCACCACTTTCCCCCCCTCCCCTTTTCCCCGCAACCCCTCCGCAGCTACAATATTCCGCTGGTGGCGGACATTCACTTTGCGCCCACCATCGCGCTGCGCGTCGCGGACTGTTTCGACAAGATCCGCATCAACCCCGGCAATTACGGTAACCTTCCCCCTCCCCTTCCATTTCCCTGCCCCCGCCCCTTACCCTTGACCCCGCCGCTGCCGCTGCCGCTGCCGCTGCCGCTGCCCCTGCCCCTGCCCCTGCCCCTGCCCCTGCCCCTGCCCCTGCCCCTGCCCCTGCCATACTTGCATGCTGTTGCTCCATTCTTGCGCACACATTTGCTCGCATTGCTGACTGGCACGTTCACACTTCCACCCCCCTTGCTGTCACGTTCTGCGCTTGCCTCTGGCCCAACTGCAGCGGACACGCGCGCGGTGTTCAAGACGGTGGAGTACACGGACGAGAGCTACCAGCAGGAGCTGGAGCACATTGACGAGGTGAGACTCGGAGATGGCTGTACGAGAAGACGAATGAGAGATGAGGTGGTGAGAGATGAGAGCAGAGAGATGAGGGTGTTTAAGACGGTGGAGTGCACGGACGAGAGCTACCCGCAGGAGCTGGAACACATTGACGAGGTGAGACGGGCAGAGGTAGAGACAGGGCGCGAGTTGAGAGACAGGGCGCGAGTTGACGGTGTTACAGGAGGTAGAGACAGGGCGCGAGTTGACGGTGTTACAGGAGGTAGAGACAGGGCGCGAGTTGACTGTGTTACAGGAGGTAGAGACAGGGCGCGAGTTGACGGTGTTATAGGAGGTAGAGACAGGGCGCGAGTTGACTGTGTTACAGGAGGTAGAGACAGGGCGCGAGTTGACTGTGTTACAGGAGGTAGAGACAGGGCGCGAGTTGACGGTGTTACAGGAGGTAGAGACAGGGCGCGAGTTGACTGTGTTACAGGAGGTAGAGACAGGGCGCGAGTTGACTGTGTTACAGGAGGTAGAGACAGGGCGCGAGTTGACGGTGTTATAGGAGGTAGAGACAGGGCGCGAGTTGACTGTGTTACAGGAGGTAGAGACAGGGCGCGAGTTGACTGTGTTACGGGATTGAAAAGCAGGAGACGTGTCTCATGCGAGGAGAAGTGGATGCACGAGAGGTGGTTGGGACCAGTCCCGAACACGGATGGGAGGTCACAGCAGGAGCTGGAGCACATTGACGAGTCGGGATTTAGAGTCGACTGTACGGAGGACGCATGAGAGATGGCGAGAGATCAGAGCAGAACACGGATGAGAGCCACTGGCATGAGCTGGCGCACATAGATGCGGCGAGGCGAGCAGAGGCGAAGAGGGCGAGCGGGTCCAACGGGAACATAGATGAGAGCTGCCGGCTGAAGCTGACGTGCATAGATGAGGTGCGGCGAGCAGAGGCAGAGGAAAGCGGGGGGATTTCTTGTGTGAGGAGGATAGGACGCATGCGAGGTGGGTGGGAGCGAACGACCAGAGCATGCGAGGTGGGTGGGAGCGACCAGAGCATGGGGGTGGTTGGGGCTGATGGCCGAGGTGAGGGCGTGGGACAGAAGGAATAGACCATTGAGCGATTCAAAGACAGGTGGCAGGAGCATAAAACTTTTCAGTTGACTCATAAGTTATGAGTTGAGGGCGAGGGACAGAGAGAACAGAACATCAAGCCATGCGAAGACAGGTGGGAGGAGCATATGTGGTGTGCGGAGGAGATAGTGAGACAGAGGAAGTACATTGTTTTAGAAACGACTCGAAATGCATATGTAGTGTGCAGAGGAGAGGAGATGGCGAGAGCAGGGGAAGGAGGGAGGGGGCGGGCGGGTGTGTGTGAGCGAGACGGTGGAGTGCAGACGGATAGGAGGTAGGAGAAGGAGGGCGAGGGGCGGGAAGGAAGGAGGTATGTCGAGCAGGCGGGTGAGCACATTGAGAGTAGGCTGGCATAGGTTTTCGGGTTTGGTGATGCGCGTGAGGGGCTGGAAAGGGGTATGGGAGGAACGAGACGCACTTGGGTGGGAGGTTTGGCTGTGGGAGAGTGCAGGAACAGGGAGGAGAATGCAGTTCACTCGCTGACATGCATCGCCTCGTGCGTTTATGTGCGGCATCTTGTGTCCTCATTTGTTCATCTGACATCATTCACGTGCGTCCAGGTGTTTTCCAACCTGGTGCTCAAGTGCAAGCTACTGTGCTGTGCAGCATTGCCATCACATCACATGACACATGCACTGCTCCTCATCTGCTCATCTCTTCGTTTGTTCATCTGCATTTGCACTGGGTTTCATAACTCACATTTGCACAGGTGTTCTCCAAGCTGGTGCTCAAGTGCAAGCAGCTGGGGCAGCGCTCACAGCATGCTTGTGGTTTGGCTTGGCTTGGCATGGCATCTCATCTCATCTCATCTCATCTCATCTCATCTCATCTCATCCACTGCACTGCCCATCTACTCGCCCGCATCCTTCACACGTGTGCAGGTGTTCTCCAAGCTAGTGCTCAAGTGCAAGCAGCTGGGGCGCGCCATGCGCATCGGCACCAACCACGGCAGCCTCTCCGACCGCATCATGAGCTACTATGGCGACTCGCCACGTGGCATGGTGAGTCAGCACACGTGGCATGGTGAGTCAGCACACGTGGCATGGTGAGTCAGCACTCGTATGTCATGGCGTCTGTTAAACCAGGCGCATTTCACCGCTCTCTCTGTACTTCACCCCTTTGACACAGGTTGAGTCCGCCCTTGAGTTCGCGCTCATCTGTCGCAAGCATGACTATCACAACTTTGTCTTCTTCATGAAGGCCAGCCCAGCAACCCCTCACCACCCCCTTTAACCGCGTTCCACCCCACTCCATGTGCCCCTAACCGCAACTTCGTCTTCTCCATGCTACAGGTGGAGTCCGCGCTGGAATTCGCGCGCATCTGTCGCAAGCACGACTACCACAACTTCGTGTTCTCCATGAAGGCCAGCAACCCCGTCGTCATGGTGGCCGCCTACCGCCTGCTGGCAGCGCAGCTGAGGAGTGCGGGGCCGGACTGGAACTACCCTCTGCACCTGGGAGTGACTGAGGCCGGGGAGGGCGAGGACGGCCGCATGAAGTCCGCCATTGGCATTGGCGCGCTGCTGCAGGTGAGCTGCTCGCTGCTGCAGCTGAGCGGGAGAGGGTAGAGGGGGAAGAAATCATAGTAATGTCGCTCCCAGAGGCGCTTACATGCTCTAAGCTCCTCTCTTAGCCACCTCTCACGCCTCTCGCCCCTCTAACCCCCCCTCACTCTCGAACTCCCACTTGCTCCACATCACGGGCTGGGCAACTCCATTTTGCGTCCCTCGCGGAGGCCCCTGCCTACACGCTTTAAGCGCCCCTCTCGTGCCCCTCTCAAGCACCTCTCGCGCCCCTCGCCCCTCCCCTCCCCATTCCCCACCTCTCCCTTTGCTTCACAGGACGGGCTGGGCGACACCATACGAGTGTCTCTCACAGAGGCCCCTTTAAGCACCCTTATCAATTGACTTTCACGCCCCTCCCCTCCCCTCCCCTCCCCTCCCCACCTCCCCCCTTGCTTCACAGGACGGCCTAGGCGACACCATTCGAGTGTCGCTCACGGAGGCTCCAGAGGAGGAGATTGAGCCGTGCTCTGCTCTCGCTAACTACGGCATGCGCGCCGCCAAGCTCGGCAAGGGTGTGGTGAGTTTCAGCAAGTGGGCCAGGCTCGTTCATCTGCGCACGGTCATGGTGAGGCACGCTCAGCAGATGCAATCAAGCCATGCTCTGCACTCGAGGTGACCTTTGAGTCGACTCAAAAGTCACCTCATTTGAGCATGGTCATGGTGGGGCACGCTCAGTTGATGCAATTGAGCCGTGCTCTGCCCTCGCCAACTACGGCATGCGTGCTGCAAAGCTCGGCAAGGGTGTGGTAAGTGTGAATTAACGAGTGGCTGAGATCCAATCTGAGCAGGGTGATTGCTTGTTCTCTTCCATGAAGTCCTAAATTCCTAAACTAGTCACTGGAAGGATCACTATTGCAGCAAGCACCGCCACACGATCACTACATTCTGGTTCAAATACATCCTAATGTGACAGGAGAGCAATAAGCTAACCTTCTCCGTTCTTATTTTCCCTGCTCCGCCCCTCTCCGCCCCTCTCCACCCTGCTGTACCAACAGGAGGACTTTGAGGAGAAGCATCGCAGCTACTTTGAGTTCTCCCGCCGATCCGGCCAGCTGCCCCTGCAGAAGGAGGTGTGTCTCGCTTCAATCGCCATGTGCTCCGCTCTGCGTTTGCTCTGATGGCCCTGTGCTCTGCTCTGCCCTTGCCCGTGCTTCACATCCGTGGGAACGTTCTTTACCCCAACAACAACACGTCACCCTGCCTGCTCCAATTTGTCCCTTACCTCAAGTTATGTTTGTCATTCCTCTTTTTCCCAGAAGAATGATCGGCAGTTGCTGCTTCCTTCATTTCCATCCCTCCTTCCTCCTCTCCTCCATTTTGCCTCTCATCCTCACCTCCCCTCCTCTCATCTCCTCTCGTCCTCTCCTTCTCTCCTCCGATCCTCCTCTCCTCCCCTCCTCCCCTCCTCTCCTCCCCTCCTCCCCTCCTCTCCTCCCCTCCTCCCCTCCTCTCCTCCCCTCCTCCCCTCCTCTCCTCCCCTCCTCCCCTCCTCTCCTCCCCTCCTCTCCTCCCCTCCTCCCCTCCTCTCCTCCCCTCCTCCTCCTCCTCCTCCTCCTCTCCTCCTCTCCTCCCCTCCTCCTCCTCCTCTCCTCCCCTTCTCTCCCCTCCTTCTTCCCTCCTCTCCCCTCCTTCTTCCCTCCTCTTCCACTCCTCTCCTCCTCTCCTCGCACCAGGGAGACGCTATTGACTTCAGGGGGATGCTGCACCGTGATGGATCTGTGCTCATGTCCGTTGATGCTGCCATGCTCAAGGTGCGATGCGATTATGGCCGTTGATTTGATGCCGCCATGCTCAAGGTGTACTCATTATGCAGATCAAGTTTTCTCTCTCATCTAGGAATATAAACGACCTTCCTTTTTTTACAGGCTGAGATGAGAAGCGGGAAGGCTGAGAGAGGAGCAGCATGAAGGGGAACAGAATACTAGGCAAAATGTGCTGTTTTGTCTCTCAACTCAATGCTCTTCTCTCAACTCAATGCTCTTCTCTCAACTCAATGCTCTTCTCTCAACTCAATGCTCTTCTCTCAACTCAATGCTCTTCTCTCAACTCAATGCTCTTCTCTCAACTCAATGCTCTTCTCTCAACTCAATGCTCTTCTCTCAACTCAATGCTCTTCTCTCAACTCAATGCTCTTCTCAAAGCGTAAACCTCCAATTTCCTCGTCTCTCTCAACCCACCAGAACCCTGAGGCTCTGTACCGTGCTCTGGCGTGCAAGATGGCTGTCGGCATGCCCTTCAAGGTGCACACCTCCCCACCTCCCCTTCCCCCTCCTGCACTCACTTCCTCTCGCACTCACTCCTCTCACCGCTCTCCCTCTTCCACTGCCTCCCATTCCAGCCACTCCTCCCCACTCCCACCCCTCTCTGTCTTCTGTCACACCCCGTCAGTTCCCCACACTCCCCCAGCATTCTTGCAAGTGTGTTCTCTTCTCGTCCACTATAGATCTCTACCTTTCTACCTCCCTTCCACTTCCTCGTTTGGGCACATATTGTCTGCTCATTCTGTGCTTCCCTGCACCACTCTCTACCCCTCTGGACAGCTCTCTCCCCTTCTACCAACCGTATCTTGTCTAAGCACCGCTCCCATCCCCTCTGCACCTCTCTCCACCCATCCCCCCTTTTCTATGACCACATTGAAGGCATTGCATTCCCTTTTTCTCCTCAGCGTCTCTCTCCACCACTCTACACCTCTCTCCATCCCTTGTCCCTTGCTTCAGGATCTGGCGACAGTGGACAGCATTCTTCTCCGCCAGGCCCCAGCTGCTGACGACAAGGAAGCTGTGAGTGGGGATTTGATTTGATCCGATCAGCTCCAAGCAAAGATTTGATTTTATCAATTCAGTTGTGGGTGGGGGTCAATCAAGCCTGTGCGAGTCCAAGCCTTTGAGTGGCAGTGATGAGAGCCGTTGCAAGTGCGTGTCATATGAGGGCAGTCCAGCCAACGTGCTGGCTGCTGCCGTGCCGTGTGTGTGTGTGCTGCATGTCAGCACCTCACTGCCGATGATTACACAGCAGCCTTTGATGATTCCTGTCTGAGCCACTCTGCTCTGGATGTGATGTGATGACGACCCTTGCTGATTCTCCTTCACCTTGGTGATTCTCCTTCACCTTGGTGATTCTCCTTCACCTTGGTGATTCTCCTTCACCTTGGTGATTCTCCTTCACCTTGGTGATTCTCCTTCACCTTGGTGATTCTCCTTCACCTTGGTGATTCTCCTTCACCTTGGTGATTCTCCTTCACCTTGGTGATTCTCCTTCACCTTGGTGATTCTCCTTCACCTTGGTGATTCTCCTTCACCTTGGTGATTCTCCTTCACCTTGGTGATTCTCCTTCACCTTGGTGATTCTCCTTCACCTTGGTGATTCTCCTTCACCTTGCTGATTCTCCTTCACCTTGCTGATTCTCCTTCACCTTGCTGATTCTCCTTCACCTTGGTGATTCTCCTTCACCTTGGTGATTCTCCTTCACCTTGGTGATTCTCCTTCACCTTGGTGATTCTCCTTCACCTTGGTGATTCTCCTTCACCTTGGTGATTCTCCTTCACCTTGGTGATTCTCCTTCACCTTGGTGATTCTCCTTCACCTTGGTGATTCTCCTTCACCTTGGTGATTCTCCTTCACCTTGGTGATTCTCCTTCACCTTGGTGATTCTCCTTCACCTTGGTGATTCTCCTTCACCTTGGTGATTCTCCTTCACCTTGGTGATTCTCCTTCACCTTGGTGATTCTCCTTCACCTTGGTGATTCTCCTTCACCTTGGTGATTCTCCTTCACCTTGGTGATTCTCCTTCACCTTGGTGATTCTCCTTCACCTTGGTGATTCTCCTTCACCTTGGTGATTCTCCTTCACCTTGGTGATTCTCCTTCACCTTGGTGATTCTCCTTCACCTTGGTGATTCTCCTTCACCTTGGTGATTCTCCTTCACCTTGCTGATTCTCCTTCACCTTGCTGATTCTCCTTCACCTTGCTGATTCTCCTTCACCTTGCTGATTCTCCTTCACCTTGCTGATTCTCCTTCACCTTGGTGATTCTCCTTCACCTTGGTGATTCTCCTTCACCTTGGTGATTCTCCTTCACCTTGGTGATTCTCCTTCACCTTGGTGATTCTCCTTCACCTTGGTGATTCTCCTTCACCTTGGTGATTCTCCTTCACCTTGGTGATTCTCCTTCACCTTGGTGATTCTCCTTCACCTTGGTGATTCTCCTTCACCTTGGTGATTCTCCTTCACCTTGGTGATTCTCCTTCACCTTGGTGATTCTCCTTCACCTTGGTGATTCTCCTTCACCTTGGTGATTCTCCTTCACCTTGCTGATTCTCCTTCACCTTGCTGATTCTCCTTCACCTTGCTGATTCTCCTTCACCTTGCTGATTCTCCTTCACCTTGCTGATTCTCCTTCACCTTGGTGATTCTCCTTCACCTTGGTGATTCTCCTTCACCTTGGTGATTCTCCTTCACCTTGGTGATTCTCCTTCACCTTGGTGATTCTCCTTCACCTTGGTGATTCTCCTTCACCTTGGTGATTCTCCTTCACCTTGCTGATTCTCCTTCACCTTGCTGATTCTCCTTCACCTTGGTGATTCTCCTTCACCTTGGTGATTCTCCTTCACCTTGGTGATTCTCCTTCACCTTGGTGATTCTCCTTCACCTTGGTGATTCTCCTTCACCTTGGTGATTCTCCTTCACCTTGGTGATTCTCCTTCACCTTGGTGATTCTCCTTCACCTTGGTGATTCTCCTTCACCTTGGTGATTCTCCTTCACCTTGCTGATTCTCCTTCACCTTGCTGATTCTCCTTCACCTTGCTGATTCTCCTTCACCTTGCTGATTCTCCTTCACCTTGCTGATTCTCCTTCACCTTGCTGATTCTCCTTCACCTTGGTGATTCTCCTTCACCTTGGTGATTCTCCTTCACCTTGGTGATTCTCCTTCACCTTGGTGATTCTCCTTCACCTTGGTGATTCTCCTTCACCTTGGTGATTCTCCTTCACCTTGGTGATTCTCCTTCACCTTGCTCGGATTCTGTCCAGATCGGAAGACACCTTGCTGATTCTCCTTCACCTTGCTGATTCTCCTTCACCTTGCTGATTCTCCTTCACCTTGCTGATTCTCCTTCACCTTGCTGATTCTCCTTCACCTTGCTGATTCTCCTTCACCTTGCTGATTCTCCTTCACCTTGCTGATTCTCCTTCACCTTGCTGATTCTCCTTCACCTTGCTGATTCTCCTTCACCTTGGTGATTCTCCTTCACCTTGGTGATTCTCCTTCACCTTGGTGATTCTCCTTCACCTTGGTGATTCTCCTTCACCTTGGTGATTCTCCTTCACCTTGGTGATTCTCCTTCACCTTGGTGATTCTCCTTCACCTTGGTGATTCTCCTTCACCTTGGTGATTCTCCTTCACCTTGGTGATTCTCCTTCACCTTGGTGATTCTCCTTCACCTTGGTGATTCTCCTTCACCTTGGTGATTCTCCTTCACCTTGGTGATTCTCCTTCACCTTGGTGATTCTCCTTCACCTTGGTGACTCTCCTTCACCTTGGTGATTCTCCTTCACCTTGGTGATTCTCCTTCACCTTGGTGATTCTCCTTCACCTTGCTGATTCTCCTTCACCTTGCTGATTCTCCTTCACCTTGGTGATTCTCCTTCACCTTGGTGATTCTCCTTCACCTTGGTGATTCTCCTTCACCTTGGTGATTCTCCTTCACCTTGGTGATTCTCCTTCACCTTGGTGATTCTCCTTCACCTTGGTGATTCTCCTTCACCTTGCTGATTCTCCTTCACCTTGCTGATTCTCCTTCACCTTGCTGATTCTCCTTCACCTTGCTGATTCTCCTTCACCTTGCTGATTCTCCTTCACCTTGCTGATTCTCCTTCACCTTGCTGATTCTCCTTCACCTTGGTGATTCTCCTTCACCTTGGTGATTCTCCTTCACCTTGGTGATTCTCCTTCACCTTGGTGATTCTCCTTCACCTTGGTGATTCTCCTTCACCTTGGTGATTCTCCTTCACCTTGGTGATTCTCCTTCACCTTGGTGATTCTCCTTCACCTTGGTGATTCTCCTTCACCTTGGTGATTCTCCTTCACCTTGGTGATTCTCCTTCACCTTGGTGATTCTCCTTCACCTTGGTGATTCTCCTTCACCTTGGTGATTCTCCTTCACCTTGGTGATTCTCCTTCACCTTGCTGATTCTCCTTCACCTTGCTGATTCTCCTTCACCTTGCTGATTCTCCTTCACCTTGGTGATTCTCCTTCACCTTGGTGATTCTCCTTCACCTTGGTGATTCTCCTTCACCTTGGTGATTCTCCTTCACCTTGGTGATTCTCCTTCACCTTGGTGATTCTCCTTCACCTTGCTGATTCTCCTTCACCTTGCTGATTCTCCTTCACCTTGCTGATTCTCCTTCACCTTGCTGATTCTCCTTCACCTTGCTGATTCTCCTTCACCTTGGTGATTCTCCTTCACCTTGGTGATTCTCCTTCACCTTGGTGATTCTCCTTCACCTTGGTGATTCTCCTTCACCTTGCTGATTCTCCTTCACCTTGCTGATTCTCCTTCACCTTGGTGATTCTCCTTCACCTTGGTGATTCTCCTTCACCTTGGTGATTCTCCTTCACCTTGCTGATTCTCCTTCACCTTGCTGATTCTCCTTCACCTTGGTGATTCTCCTTCACCTTGGTGATTCTCCTTCACCTTGGTGATTCTCCTTCACCTTGGTGATTCTCCTTCACCTTGGTGATTCTCCTTCACCTTGCTGATTCTCCTTCACCTTGGTGATTCTCCTTCACCTTGGTGATTCTCCTTCACCTTGCTGATTCTCCTTCACCTTGGTGATTCTCCTTCACCTTGCTGATTCTCCTTCACCTTGATTTATCCTCCCCTCTCATCGCTCCCTCCCCTCCCATTGCTCCCTCCCCTCCCATCGCTCCCTTCCCTCCTATCAGCGTCTGGCGCTGAGGCGACTGCAGGAGGTGGGCGTGGCCGTGTTGGTGCCGGTGGAAGCCCTCACAGCCACCCCACTCTTCCCCTGCCCCGCTTACCTCCCCCTCCCACTTCCCATGCCACTCTCTGCATTCCCTCCTATCAGCGTCTGGCGCTGAGGCGGCTGCAGGAGGTGGGCGTGGGTGTGCTGGTGCCGGTGGAGGCCCTTGCAGCCGCGCCTCTCCCCAATGCCGTGGCACTGCTCTCCCTGGAGCAAGCCAAGCTGGGCGTGCACAAGCACCTGCCGCAAGGTGGGTGGTGTTGTTTGCATGTATGTGTGCACCGGAGTGCGCTTGCTGCATCTCCTCCTGCTAGCTCAGTAGCAGCCGCGCCTCTCCACAACGCCGTGGCACTGCTCTCCCTGGAGCAGGCCAATCTGGGCGTGCACAAGCACCTGCCTCAAGGTGAGAGGGTGGTGCTGTTAGCATGCACAAGCACCTGCCTCAAGGTGAGAGGGTGGGGCTGTTAGCATGCACAAGCACCTGCCTCAAGGTGAGAGGGTGGTGCTGTTAGCATGCACAAGCACCTCCCTCAAGGTGAGAGGGTGGTGCTGTTAGCATGCACAAGCACCTGCCGGAAGGTGGGTAGTGCTGCTAGTGTGCTCTGTAGGAGCTGCACTGCACAGAGAGAAGGTGGGGGGTGGCGTGCTCAAGCACCTGCTGCTAGAAAGGGCTCTGCATTGGAAAGGGCTCTGCATTGGAATCATGATGTGTAACAAGAGTATGCTTGCTGTTTCCTTCTGCTTGCTGTTTCCTTCTGCTTGCTGTTTCCTTCTGCTTGCTGTTTCCTTCTGCTTGCTGTTTCCTTCTGCTCTCTCCTCTCTGCCCTCTCTTGAACTCCCTTTGACTGCGACTGTGCATTTTCCCTGCTCTCTCCTTGTGCCCTCACGTCTCCTATCTTTTCTCCCTCCTCTCCTCCCTTCCCTCTCTCGTCTCCTCTCTGTCCAAGCAGGAGCGGCGCGCTTTGCAGTGAGTGTGAGGGGCGATGAGAGCGAGGAGGACCTGAAGGCATTGGTGGGGCTGGACGCGGTGATGCTGCTGGCACACGTGCCGCCGCAGGCAGAGGACAGCACCGTCAGCCGCGTGCACAGCAGCCGCAGGTGAGAGTGGTGCTCATAAGGATGGGTGCATGCATGGGTTCAAGGATGGGTGCATGCATGGGTTCAAGGATGGCGTGTGGGCGTATGGGTGCACGGGTGGGCTGGCGTGTGTGCCAATCTGCTGTGCCCACTTGACCCGCTGGTGCCACTGCAGGCAGACAGGCGTGCACGCAGCTCCCCAGTGAGTGGAAGGCATGTGTCTCCTGAGGCTGATCCAGCAGCCTTCTGGACTTCCAGCCACAGCAGCATGAGACTGCTGAGCCTGCTGGACTTCCCTTCATCAGTCTAGCCTGATGCCCCTCCACTCGTTTTGCTACCGCTTCAACTCAACTGCCTCCCATGCACCTTCCCCATGCCCTCTGCTTCCATGTGCCCCATCCGTGTCCCTCAGGCTCTTTGAGTTCCTGCAGTCCAATAACATCACGACACCTGTCATCCACCACATCAGCTTCCCCGAGGGCACGTCCAAGTACGTTACCTCCACCTCTGCCTCGCTCCACCTCTGCCTCGCTCCACCTCTGCCTCGCTCCACCTCTGCCTCGCTCCACCTCTGCCTCGCTCCACCTCTGCCTCGCCAGCCACGGGTAGAAGTATAGTGTTGAGACGTCTCCAAACTACACTTTCTACCCCAGCCTGCCTTTCCTGCCCAACCCAACCTGCCCTCCCCATCGTCCTCTCCCCAACCCCCCTTCCCAACCTCCCTTTCCTAACCTCCTCTCTCCAACCCCCTCTCTCCTGCCTTTACATCATGCAAATTCTTCACGTGTCCCTTGGTCTCTCTCCGCACGCTGTTCCCTCATCTCATCCCTTCTTCCGTCCTTCTGACTTGCCACACTCGCAACTAGTACGTCCAGGCAAAGCAGCCTTGCTCTTCCTCCCCCGCTCCCACCACCTGCCGTGCTCGCCTGTGCCAGGGACGGTCTGGTGCTGCAGTCAGTGGCGAGTATGTTCTGAGTCGACTTGAAACACACCTGCTCACTCTTGGTCCTTGCTTACGTGTCTCTCCTTCCCCTCCTCCCCCCCTTCCACTCCTGCACCTGCCGTGCTCTCCTCCTGCAGGGACGATCTGGTGCTGCAGTCAGGTGCCGAGGCCGGTGCTCTGCTGGTGAGTCACCCACTCACCCACTCACTCACTCACTCACCACCATGCCACGCTGCCTTGTTCCATGCTGCCTTGCCCCATGCTCTCCTCGCTGTTATTCTGCCTTAGTGCCTCTTTGTGCCTCTTTGTCCGCTATTACTCTGTGCATCCCTGTCACTCCGTACCTCTGCCTTCTCCCATGCCCCCTCCCACTGTACAGTTTGGGCGATGACAATGCTGCTTTGTCTGATTCTTTAATCCACTTAAAAATACGATATAGGCGATGAGACAGAGTGCTGCTGGAGGCGCCAAGCCACGACATGGAGTTACTTGCTTCAATCCTCCCTCCCCCTCCTCTTCCCTGCCCCTGCCCCTGCCCCTGCCCCTGCCCCTGCCCCTGCCCCTGCCCCTGCCCATCCGCTGTCCCCCACTCCCTGCCTCTTGGTGTCTCTACGGGCGGGCATCACCAGGTGGACGGGCTGGGAGACGGAGTGCTGCTGGAGGCGCCAAGCCACGACATGGAGTTCCTGCGCAACACGTCCTTTGGCATGCTGCAGGGCTGCCGCATGAGGAACACCAAGACGGTGGGTTGGCAGTCTCGTGCGACTAGACTGCTCCCCAAGTGCCCAAATGCGGCCGCCAACGTGCCTCAATTCCATTCATCAGCTGTCGAGTCTCAGGCATCTCACTACCACCCATCGCCCCTTCCCAATTCCCTCACACTCTGTTTGATCTGTAGGAGGTCATTGCCTCCATCGGCACCTCCCTCCCCAACCCTCCCCACCCCTCCTCACCCCTCCCTCTCCTCTCCCCCTCCCCATCCCCCCTCCCCTTCCCAGGAGTTCGTCTCGTGCCCATCATGCGGCCGCACGCTCTTTGACCTGCAGGAGGTGACGGCCTCCATCCGCGAGCGCACCTCCCACCTCCCTGGCGTTGCTGTGAGTCCCTCTCTTCTCTCCACCTGCCGTCTCTGTTTCGAGCAAGACTGTACACGCCTTTGACAGCACTGTGCTGTCAGCACATATATATACATTGTGAACGGCCTGGTGAGAGGGCTGGTGCTCATTTCATCCTCTTCGTCCTCTCCTGTACTTACCCCCTGCTGTTCCCCCTCTCCCCCGTCCTTTCCCCCCACCCCCCACAGATTGCCATCATGGGGTGCATTGTGAATGGGCCGGGTGAGATGGCGGATGCTGACTTTGGCTACGTGGGCGGGGCGCCGGGCAAGATCGACCTCTATGTCGGCAAGGTGGGTGTGCTTGGGTGGCATGCTGGGTGGTGCGGTGGTTGCATTTTTGGTGGGGCTGGCATGGTAGGCAGCATTGTAGGTGGCACGGTGGGGGGCATGTCGGTGGCATGGTGGGCGGCAAGTTTGTCCTGTGCATTCATTTGGGTCACGGCAGGCCCTCCAGTCTTCGCACTCATTCTAGCCACAGGCACCCACCTAGTCAGTGCACAGACTTGTGGGCTTGGTGGATGGAACACGCAAGGGCGCTTGCATCCTTGACCATTCACAACACCCCACACCACCGCACACCACCCGACCGTTCCACACCATGGCATTTCCTGCCCCTAGGAAGTGCAGCAACGTGCTGTTCGTGATCCGTCCATCCGCATGCAGGCAGTTCTCTGAGAACCATGTATCTCACTCCCATCCCATCCGTCCCGCCCATCTGGAGCCGTCCATTCATGCCAGCCCTCTTAACCCCCCCCCCATCACACCATCCCATCCCATTCCACCGCAATCCACCCCACCCCATCTTTCCCCCCAACAGGAGGTGGTACAGCGCGCCATCCCCATGGAGGAGGCGACAGACGCGCTGGTGAAGCTGATCAAGGACCACGGCCGCTGGGTGGAGCCGGCTCAGGAGGAGGAGGCGGCGCAGGCCGTGGCGGCTTGAAGCAGTGGTTCATTGCGCGCACGCGCCTTGTGACCTGTTTGGGTGCTAGACGGCAGGGTGAAACACACTCCTTGCTTTTGAGCAGCTGCCGTGACTCATGAGCTTGCTTTGCGAAACATGTTAGTGGCGGTTTTTAACAGAGGATGAGCAGTCTGAGGGTAGACCGCAGGCTGCATGGTGTAGAGAGTGAAAGGGAGTGGTGATGTGAGGGCGTGCTGTGTGCTGCAAGGATCATGGTTGCAGGATTGAGGGACTTGGCAGATGTGGTTGTGTCTTGAGAGAGAGCCTTGTGTGTAACCATTATGTTTTGCCTTGCATTATTGTTCATACATCAACAACCATAACCACTGTTCAGGGCAACAATAAGAAGCTGAAAAGTTCAGTCACCATAGCAAAATTTATTACTGCTGTCCTCTCTATAAAGCCTTAGCTGTGACACACCCTTACAAAAGGTTGATATACCACAACTTAGACCTAAACCCCAGACCTTATGGCACAGCTTAGCTCTTGTGTGCAAGTGTCTTGCAAAAGGATTTATCTTGACAAGCTGCAATTATCATGACAAGCATGTTGGGCTGAAAGAGCCCTTAGGATCTAAGCAGGACTAAACTCTGACTAGGAACAATGTAGTAGCGGAAGCGTTTAATGATAAGTTTGTGAACCACCTTGCGCTGGTATGTGAGGGTAAAGCAAAGAGATACAAGCTTTTACGGTATAAGAGTACAAGGAATATGAAGAGATACAGTTAATAACCGTTTTACTATTGCTGTTGCGGTTCGATACAGTGCCGACTCGGGCAACTGCTCAATAACGAGTCAATAGTTTCCCCTTGCTGTCGCGCTGTATTTGTCAGGTCAAAGGTCGCTGACCTTTGACTTCCGCGTAACCTCCAGCAGTTGCTCAACCTCCGAAGGTTGACTCGCTCATGTTTCGCTGTGTTTCGCTTCGTTTACGACTTAGTGTTTCGACGCGACACAGGCACTTAAATCACTTGTTTCCAACACTCCCCTTCGCTTCTGGAGTGTCGCCGCTGGTGAGGTGGCTCTGTCCAGTCAGCAGCATGCAGTACTCGAACTTCTGCTTTCCGAGCTTCTTGGTCAAGTAGTCAGCGGCCATTTCGGATGTGGGGCAGTAGGACTGTTCGAGTTTGCCCTTCTCGATCTCGTCTTTTACGAAGAAATATCGTAGGGCGATGTGCTTCGTCCTGTTCGCGAATCCATTTTTGTTCGCGATGCGGATTGCTGACTGGTTGTCGCAGAACAGGAAGCTGGGTAACTCAGCCAGCTTCGCTTCCTCCAGGAGTTCGCGAAGGTACAGTCCTTCCTTGGTGGCTGAACAGAGTGCGATATATTCTACTTCAGTTGAGGAGAGGGCGATTAACTCTTGCTTGCTCGACTGCCACGAGAAGGTCAGATAGGTTCGAGGCGATAGATGTAGCCGGTGCGCGAGCGTCTGTTGTCGGAGTCGCCGGCGTGATCGGCGTCGACGTGGCCAATTAACTTAGGTGTCGAGGTTCCGTTCTTGTGATAGGTCAGGCCGATCGTCGGAGTGCTAACGAGGTAGTGAAGAGCGCGGTCGAGCTCCGCCATGTGCTCTGCTTCGGGCCTTTTGAGGTAGGTGGCGAGTTGACTCGCAGAGTACGATAGATCCGGACGGAAGGTGACGGCCGCGAAGAGGAGGCATCCCAGCTTTCTCTGGTAGTCGCGTATGTCGGCGGGCTTGAGCGGAGAGGAGCCTTCCTTGTGATTTCCTGCAGTGTAGCTGTATCGCGTGGAGATGGTGATCGGGGTGAGTCCGAAGCGTTTGGCGATTATGTCGGCATATTTCGCGGCGCTGAGGTAGATCGCGCCTTCCTCTCCCTGGATGTTAAGGCCGAGGTATTAAATGACGGTTGATGACACTGTGAGAGTGAGGTCCTGCTGCAGCTCCCCTTCGAACCAAGTAGTGACGTTGTCAGTCGAGCCGATGTAGAGCAGATCGTCTAAGTAGACGATCAACAGAATGTAGTCGTCACCTTTCGTGAGCCGGTACATACCCTGGTCGTGCGGAAATTCGCGGAATCCGATGCGGATAAGTCTAGCGTGTAGGTACTGTTGCCACAGTCTCGGGGCCTGTTTTATACCATACAAGGACTTCAGTACCGTCTTGTTGTGTGCCACGCCGCTGGGAACGACTTTCCAGGTGTTCCGTTCTTCTAGCGCTTTCAGTTCCTTCTCCATGGCTTCGCGCCATTTTTCCTTATGCTCCCCCCCCAGAGCCTGCTGAACTGTGGCAGGCTCCTTAGGAATCGCTGTGCCGTGGACCGCGGTGATGCGCTGTTCGGGAGCGATGATGACGAGAGCAAGTTGTGCAGCATGACAGCGTGGTCCATTGCTTCGGGCCGTTGGTGGTTGGGAAGCCGCATGCCACGTAGTAGCTTGCGCATGGTGTTACGGAGAGTCCCGTTCATTCTTTCTGCTACACCTTGCTGTTGATGGGCGTAGGGAAGGGAGATGAGCCGCTTGATTCCCCTCTCTGCCAAGTACTGCTTGAACCTCTGTGAGGTGTATTCTCCTCATCCATCAAACTGGAAGCTTCACGCTTGATTCTCATTCTGCTACTGGGAGCCAGGCAACGAAAGCCTCGAAAGCCATGTCTTTGCTCGGAAGATTGAGGTGCCAAACGTAGCGTGTGGCGGCATCGATGAACGTGATGGTGTAGCTGTATGCTCCTTGTCCAGGTTCGTGATTGTACAAGATGTCGCTGTACACTTTCTTGAGTGATGCGTAAGCTGGTGCGCTCGGGTTGTGGTGAGAAACGAACGGCCGATGTGGTAAGTCGGCTTTGGGGCAGGTAAAGCACGTTCCGCGAGCTTGTCGAAGTTCGCTTCCGTCGGTTAGGAGCAGTGAGTCTTTGTCGAGCACTCCTACTCTGATTGTGTTATTTAACATTATGTTGCTTGGATGTCCCATACGTACGTGCCAGATGTCTTCGCCAGCTCGATGTCAGGGTGAGCGACGGTACTAGTCAGAGTTGGAGTAGAAGCTTGCGGTGAGGTTTGCACTTCGATGTACTTCTCGTGGTGTTGGGTTCAGTTGTTGCGCAGAAGTCGGTGGAGAGTCGTCGACGATTGGGGCTGGTGCAGTTGAAGGACCCGCGATTAGTGCCGATGCTGTCTCTGCTGCTGCCGATGTTGTCTCTGCTGCTGCCGATGTTGTCTCTGCTGCTGCCGATGTTGTCTCTGCTGCCGATTGAATTGTTGCTAATGCTATTGTTTGTTCTGCCTCAGGGATGGTGTGCGAATACTAGAAACCTTCGGGGCTGAAGTCAGGATCGAGATCCAGTGGGTGCGTCGAGGAGGTGAAGGTGACGATTCCGTCGCTGTGGGCGGTGCCTAGATCTGGAACGATTTGAGGACGAACATGTTGTTCATCAGCACGGCCTTGCCGATGTAGAGGCCTCCTTTTCCGTGGTACAGCTTGAACTTCTGTGTCGTGCTGTCTGCTTCGAGATGGATACCTTTCGCCATCAGCTGACTGACACTCAGTAAGTTGTAGCCGAGTCCCTCCGCAATTAAAACATTTGATATTTGCAGTATGACGTTTGTCTCTCGTGACTGAAGTTGCACTACGCCTTGTCGTCGTGTGCGCAGGTTCTGATTGTTGGCGACGGTGATGATGACTTCGCGCTAAAGTTGGTGTTCGCGTTGAACGAAACGACCCGAGGAACACATATGCTGCTCGCAACAAATTGTCCAAGAACCAGGTGTCCTTCCCGGATGGTTCGCTTTGGGCGATAGCTGCGTATGTCGGGTTCGGTTGCAGTGACTCACGCCGTGGAGTACTTTCATCGAGTTGTTCTTCAGGTGAGTAGTGCGGCGGTGATTCGGTGATGCAGGAGTCGGTCAGTCTTGCCATGCAGCTGACGATGTTTCTTGTTCCTTGCGCAGGTTGTCCCGTCGACGTTGTTGAGGCTTGTACTTGAGTGGTGTATGAAAATATGAGGAAGGAATGATTACATTGAGCAGCATGAGGAGTACAAGTAGGAAACCCTAAAGTGTTGTACCCCATATTGACTACCCCACTACAGCCTAAACAAACTATAGCATATATAGTTCGACACACCCCCATAGGCAAAGTGGGGGAGAACAAGGGGTCACAAGACCAGTTAAGAGAAGCAAGCCAAGCCCAGGGTGGATCAAAACGTCACCACACAACTCAGCGGGTGATGTACATGGGGTGATGTATATGGGGGGGGGGGGTTCCTGGCACAGAACTCAGCGGGAAGCGCAGCGCGGTAGCGAGTGTCACTAGTGCGAAGAAGCATAATGAGGTCAGCGACTGTGGGAAAGGCAGCAAGGTCAGGGAACAGGTACGGCAGGATGAGGCGGCTAAGCGCAGCAGTGGCAGGGGAAGAGTAGCACGCAAATACAGCGTCGTACAAGGTCTTAGCACTCTTCTACTGGCTAAAGTGCGCACGCTCAGTGGTCGGTAAGTGGCGTCGCACAGCAAGACGTGCATCAGCATCACGTGTGGCCTACTGTGAGCGAACAGTGCTATCAGCAGTAGCACGCGGGGCAGGAGAGACACCAGAGGTGAGGTCGAACAGTGAGAGTCCGTCCGCCCTATCGCACTGTAAGAACAGCTGGAGGTCATCGACCCAGACCTCAAAGTCAACAGCACGACCCTCAGTATCAAAGGTAAGGACACTGGGGGTAGCCATGACTGCAGTGGCCTATCAGGGAGTGAGCTTACCAGTCCAAGGAAGTAGGGCCGGGGCGCGCCGGAAGAAAGGGCGGCTCGGCGGCTCGGCTGCTCGGCTGCTTGGCGGCTCGGCTGCTGGGCGGCTCGGCGGCTCGGCTGCTGGGCGGCTTGGCGGCTCGGCTGCTGGGCGGCTCGGTGGCTCGGCTGTCTGGCGCCTCGGCTGCTGGGCTGCTGGCAGCTTGGAAGGGGCCGGTAGAGACGGCGATGGGGCCGTGAAGGGGGGGCGGCGACGGGGCCGGTGAGGGCAGCGACCGGGCC